GATGCGGCCCTCAATGAAATTGAGTTTGACACCCCTGCAGTAAGTTATTTAGGAACTGTGTTTCTAGGCCCAGGTCTGAGGCTGCTCCAGAAGTGGCTAAATTGTGACTACTAAATTTGCTAGGATCTCTATTATCTAAGGGAGGAACAGTGCTAGCATGGAAAAATAACCTCATTCCTCAGCCATAGGTTCTTCCTACATGTTTCTGGGGTAGTATGTGGGTGCATGTCCTGGGCTTTATGGTCTTGATATTCCTAGATTTTTTCCTTCTACGATACGCTTCCAATTGTCAACATTTTTGGAGCACCAACTAAACAATACATATCTGAAGACATGTTACAGAAACAAGTCAGAAGGCCAGGCTATACTGAAATATCATGTCTTCAGACCTTAGCAAAAACACTGAACAAGAGGAGAAATACTTGGAGTGCCTTTCCCCCACTTTCTTCATTAGATGTTCCACTAACATAAGATCAAAGTTGTACTGAATTACCTTTTATGTCTTGAGCACTGATGATGTTACCTAGTTTGGGTAATGAAACGTCTGCAAGAAAACAAGCAAGCTCAGAGAGCACCAGGGACCCCTCATGTCTTGATAATTTGGCCGATTTGCGGAAGGAGGTCTTATCTACATCCCCGATCTGACTGAGTAGTAGGGATGCTACTTATGTGAAAGGCATCTTATACTGTGTTAGGTAAAATCATGGTCAAAGAGGACCACCTGTTAGGGATTGACCAACCTTACAACAGTATTTCCAGATATTACCTTAGTTTTCCGCCTATGCCAGTGGTTCTCAACCTTTTTAATGCCGCGACCCCAACCGGTCGTAAGTCGAGGACTAAACCGGTTGTAAGTCGAGGACTAAACCGGTCGTAAGTCGAGGACTAAACCGGTCGTAAGTCGAGGACTTTCCCTGCCTGGGGGCGCCGCGCATGCGTGGTTCCGCCCCCTGCGCCGGCCGAGGCGTAGCTGGCAAGCGGCAGAGACGGAGCAGGCCGACCACCAGCTGGCCCAGCCCAAGGGAGGTAAGGCACCCGCCGGAAAAGGGAAAAAAAATGGCGGACAGCCTTGCTTGGCGACCCCCGTGAAATGGTCGATCAACCTCAAATGGGGTCCCAACCCACAGGTTGAGAACCACTGGCCTATGCCATCTTGAAATTAGACTGGAACAACAAAAATGTGTGAAACCACTGAGGGAAGTCAGAGCCCCAGAGAAGGAAATATTAAAAAGGCAGAAAAATATTTTTCCTCAAAAGGATTTTTAAAACCAAAAGCCAACCCTGGCCTCATCTCTTTGCCCCAAGCAAGAGCCAGCCCTATACAAATGCAGATGTAAGACCATCAGGAAGGTTGGAGCCAGGAAACTCAAGAAGACAAAGAAACTTTTAAGAGTCATTAGCCCAGCCCCAGGGAAGCAGGAGATGACTTTTGGGACATAATAGGTCTGAACCACAGATACTAAGGCCTAGAAAAGCACTCAGACTCAGTTCAAAGTTCATGCCACAGGAAGAGGAAACTATTCCAAACAAAAAGCTAGAGAGGGTATAAAAAGCTACTGCCCATGTGCTCACCCCCTCTTCTCTCCTCTGCTCTTTCCTGAAGAACCATCTTTCTGCTTCTTCAATAAACTGTAACCGTCTTCCCAAAGCAGTCGCCATGTTGCTTATTTATTCCCGGCTTGGATGAACTAGGATGAAGACTTACTTCTGACACCACCAAGAAACTGATCCTATTAAAAACCAAGTCGGCTTCTATCCAGAATAGCAGAGTTGGAAGGGACCTGGGAGGTCTTGTAGTCCAACCCCTGCTCAAACAGGAAACCCTGTATCATTTCAGACAAATGGCTATCCAATCTCTTCTTAAAACCCTCCAGTGTTGGAGCACCCACAACTTCTGGAGGGAAGCTGTTCCACTGGTTGATTGTTTTCACTATTAGGAAATTTCTCCTTAGTTCGTTCCTAATCACACTGCGGGTTTTGGAAGCCTAGAAGCTAATTTTTGCACATCAAAGAGATATTTCCTATTTCAGTTTACCCACGTGCACGTGAACTGAAGGAGCTGGTTTGACTTCATCCTTCATCAAGGTAATATGGCTGTCCTTGGCTCATCTCAAAAAGCTCTTTTGATGTTTTCAGGGTGATTCAGCACTATTTTAAGTCTGTAACTATAGCTCTTCTCTTGTTGTGATTGGCCCAAAGGCTGTTATTTGTGTGTGCTTAAAATTTCGCTTTGAAGATTTTATAATCTCTGTCAACAGCGAGCTGATTAAATATGCATTTCACACAATGCATAAATGTTAGAGCTTGATCTGCTTTTCTCTTTCCCACCCACTCCTACACTTCTGCTCTCCTCCCTCCTCCAAAGAGTCTCCTACATCCACTGAAAGCGAAGGATTAAAAGCACCACTTAAGCTTTGTTTTTTTTAAAAAAAGTGCATTTGATCTTTGAACTGTAGATGGAGTTCACACCCCTGTTCTAAGAGCCTGAAACTTCTAAAAGAGCTTTAAAAAGCTTTACAACCCTTGCATAGTTCCAAGCAAAGAAAAGGTAACAACAACCAGCCTTCTGTGAATCTGCAAAGATGGATATGAGTTTGTTACAATCCCAGTTTTAAGAGCAGAGTGAGGGAGAGGGAGAGGGAGAGAGCTGCTGCTTTCTGCTGCTTCCTGCTAAGACGCAGCAAAGGCAGAAGCCCCGTCCAATAAGCTTGTCCGAGAACAGCATGAGGCCACTCTCTTTTTTATACACACACACACACACACACACACACACAGAGAGAGAGAGAGAGAGAGGGAGAGGGAGAGGGAGAGAGCTGCTGCTTTCTGCTGCTTCCTGCTAAGACACAGCAAAGGCAGGAGCCCCGTCCAATAAGCTTGTCAGCTTGTCCGAGAACAGTATGAGGCCACTCTCTTTTTTACACACACACACACACACACACACACACACACACACACACACACACACA